TGTCTCATCCTACGATGGACCTGGCGGCCCTGGCCAAAGCCAGGGCCGCCAGGTCCAATCACGTTCCATGCTAAACTAGGAGATGCTTAACATTGATTAGGTGTGGACGAATCATGCTTTGAATACAAAAGTGCTGCGCCATTTCTATAGTGTCGACACTGCAAACAGCCTGTGTGTCGTGGCTTTCTTTGCAATGGAAAATTGTCGAGTCACTCAGTGCTAGTCGATTCGAACAACTGTCCACACACCCCCATCAGTGAGACGAGACGGGACCATCGACACGTGAATCGAAGCGATATAACACATAATTTTTAAGTCGCTCGTGATTGGATCCGGCAGACTGTAGCTTTTGCCTTTAGTCCATCATAGGGAGAGACGAAGTATAGTAATCGAAGCGACACACACGATAAGCAAACAGGAACAGCAGCCAGTAGGAAGGACACCGACACGAGCTTAGTCAGCGAACGAAAAGACAGACACAAACTTCACGCTAGGCACACAGAGCAGGGGTAGTTACAAGGATGAGAGGCATCCGCAGATGGAGGTAAGCAGTGCACAATAAATACGCGAAAACTCGCAGCAACCGAAGAACCACGCAGCAAACACGTACGTGCACACGCACCAGAAGCATGTGCGTCACGCTGCGTATCAACGCGGAACTGGCGATTTTGGCATTTCGGTAATTTAAAACTTCGATATCGATTGCGTGAGCGATTTATTCAGCAGACAGAACCGGTGGAGCCTCGCATAAAAAAAAAATTGTTTGACAATATGAAAGCGATTGAAACTCTTCCTAAAAGCTATATTAGCAGAAAGTACCGTGTTATAAAGGACCTTACGAGTTTCGACCAAGTTTTCCAGCACGTTATTTTGCAAGAAACACAAGAAGCCAAGTGGACGACCAGTTTCCGAAGCTGGCAACCACAGGTGGAATCAGCGCCATCCCCGGCAGTCTCCTGAACCTCGCGTAGTCACATTTCAGCCACCACCACATAGAGGACGCAACCGGACATCCAATTTATGTTTTCTGTATTTTTATGATTTTTTTTTTTTTTAATAATTAGGCACGATTAGCGAAAATGTGGGCTAATAATCAGGACCTGGGACAGGAATCTCCATTTCATACTAAAAGTATTGGCCTAAATGTCTGCCAAAAGGGGTCAAAATACTCGGTTTTGACTATCAACAAATTCGTGATTTCGCCTATATTCAAACTTTTTTTTATGGAAAATCAAAGGTGAAATTTAGAAAAAGGGCCTCTGTTGACAAAGCAGGATATGTTTTTCTTTGCGGGTCTACAATTTTATTCAAATGTGCCAATCCCTAAGCGCTGTACCACTGTACTACTAAATGAAGTTTGCCAAAAAATACTGTTTTTGTCACTTTTCACGTGAGCATTCCGAAAAAGGCTTAGACCATATTACAATGAAATTTAGCATAGCTCTTTCGACCATAGTTGCAAACACATGTAAAAAGTTTCAAATAAAATGACAGAGGAGGCGGCTAAAAATTCGCGACTGAATGTGCTTCCGCGAGGTAAACTTTTTAAAGTAAATATCTGTCAAAATAAAATAAAAAACGAAAAAAGGGCCTCCGTTGACAATTAACGTACTCTTCTTCTATAACATTCTAAAATATGAAAGAAATTGCTCCAATGGTGCACACTGTACTACGAAACCATGTTTTGCCGAAAAGGCCAATGTTCGCGGGTGCCCACTGAATTAGCGTTTTACACTAGGAAAACAAATCCTACATCGGAGGAAAGATAATGTTGTACAGTACAATATGATATATAACACATAATTTTAACAAGCTTGAACACGCCACAATCGCATTTCGAAAACATGCGGAAAGCGTCATATGTCATGGCCGCCGTGGGACCGCAGCCTTAAACATGCAGGCATCGGGTCTATTAAAACAGAAAAAGGGAGAAAACTTGGTGTGTGCTAATGTAACAAGTCTAGCAGGGTTGAAAGCTGGTCTAGTGGGTAGCAGTTCATGATAAAATAGAAAGTGTGCAAAAAAAAAACAAGGACGAAAAAGAGAGGACACATAAGACAGACAAGGGCTTACTCGCAACTGTTATTGAAACTTGGGAAAACACGAAGATAGTTCCTTTCGCCAGCTCCTCATGCGCCAATCAATGATCCCCCCACTGATTCTAATGTACAAAACAAAGGAACCCTTTTGTTACCACTCCCTTAACGTGCGCGTGGCACTGTCGCACATAGGAATGCTTCCTCAGCATCTGTCAAAGTAAGTGACGGGTGACTTAAACAGCCTTCACCCAAAGTTTTGATAACAAAAGCCTCTAAACCCTCCCTCACTCTCTGCTCCTTAAATCGTCCTAAAATATTAGTGTTTTTAAAAATAGGAGCACATTCACGCCTGCTGCAGTGAACTGCTAAGTGGCCAGACAGAGTGTTACGGAGAAAGTTGCAATGCAGTCATTCATTATTACAACGTCCAGTCTGGCCCACAGAGGCCTTACCACAAGACAGTGGAATGCAGTACACGACGCCGACTCGGCAGTTGACAAACTAATTTGTATGTTTCTTTCCACATGAAAAAACACCCTTTTTCTTCTCTGACATGCAAAACTTTCTGCACAACTGCATCAATTTTTCTTGTGTGCTGAAAACAACTGGCACGTCCTACTGCAGAGCGACGTGCCAGTGGAATATTCCGTGGAGGTACGGAAGCGCCACTGGCCTGACACTTTTCTAGAGCCCTGAATATCCGCGGATATTCGCAGTAAACGGGCGGATGCGGATAAAAATTAGACAGATTCTGGCGGATTGCGGATCGGATGCGGATGTCAGAAGCTGCGGATATGCGGATATCCGCAGATCCTGATCTAAATGTTTGCCCGGTGGCATTCAGTTCGCCGACTGACGTTTCATCTACAGATTGTTTCGACGAAATGCATTGTTTGATCGAAAGGCGTCTCGCGTTCATCTCGTAGAAAAACCTGAGACGTTTCGTTGCACACAACCCTGCTATTTTCGTAACAAACTTTTTGCGTCTCGCCTGGATTACAGGGGGGAGGGGGGTATGATTTGGTTTAGCTCGCCTTAGTGAATCATGCGCTAGCTTTTAGCGGCTTAGTGAAGAAATGCGTTGTCAACAAAACGTACAGCGTCAACGAACCGTGTGTCCATGAAATGTATGCCAATGAAAAGTTGTCCACGAAACTTATTTCCACAAAACACGTTTCAAAGAAACAATAGGGATCCTAAGAAAGATCTGATTCTCACTGAAGATCGCTTCAGTTAGTGCGTTGCCTCTCGTCAGAAATGCTATCTGTAGAAAAAGTAAAGATTGCAGGGCAACAATCGTCCCGACAAAGCTAGTACATTGGCAGGAAAAGAGCAGAAACTTTCTCCGGGCAAAGAAAACCTTAAACGTACAAGTCACAAGAAAGTAGAAGAAACGTCCCCCTCTCCGCAAAGAGTGGTGTGGTCATGATTCCAAAAACAAAAGAAGTGCCTAGACATCCTTTTTGTGCACTTCTGGGCAAAGTGTCGCGGACTCCTGGGACGATCACATAACTGAGATCATTTTTCCTTCAACGCGCAGTGTCTCGGGAAGGCTGATTGCTTTTAATTTAAATACAATGAAAGTGATAATGATAAAGTGACCTGTTAATACTGCAGATTGGGAGAGTTGGTAAGGCATCATTACAGACCAGCACACAAGTAGACAGTTATTCCAAATCCAAACACAAAAAATACACTCGCACAGCGCTGAACTATCAACTGATTTGTATTTCAAACTTCCTCTTCTTCGACCCCAAGGAATAGGTTGCCAAGGAAGAAAAGGTGAAAAACGAGGCAAGGGGGGAAGGCGAAAGAAAAAGAAAAGGAAATCAGATGAATAGAAAAGAAAAAATATAAGACAAAGAAAAGGAGAATAATACTAATACAACAGAGTCCAGGAGTTACAAAAATTACAAAAATAATTACAAATGTAATTACGAACAGATCTTTTTGCATCACTCAAACTATTTACGACAAGAGTGTAGTCGACAGCAGGCCAGCATATCACCTGGTTTATACCTGTTCGTAATTACTTTTGTAATTATTTTTGTAATTTTTGATGCGAAACGCTTCATTTTCTTGGTGCAGATGACAAGGTTTGACGTAAATCTCATGAATAAATGTGACGTAGGTTTTGCGCATCAAACTTTACATGTGAACAGGCCGATTTCATGAAATCTCAGTTTCGCTAAACTGTTGCGTGTTGAAAAGATGCATGTATGAATAAACCTTAAAGGGTAACTGCAAAGAAAAAAAAGTATTTTTTTAAACAGCCTAATTGGGACAAGCATGTCACAAAACAAATCTTCCGCGAAAAAACAAATTTTTTTTAACAATATTTACGCCGCAGGGCGCAATTTAGTCGGAGTCACAACCTCTCCACATTCGAAACTCCCGCTGTTTCGACGCGCGCGGAGTGGCTGGAATACGTCACTCCGTGACGTATAGCAGCCACTCCGTGACATATAATACCAACTTTGTGGCGCGCGATTTAAAACAGACGAAATAGCCGCAAACTAAAATCAGTCCCTCGCAATAAATATTGCTCTAAAAATTTTTGTTTTTGTTGGAAAAATTGTTTTGTGACATGCTTGTCCCAATTAAGCTGTTTAAAAATACTTTTTTTTCTTTGCAGTTACCCTTTAAAACAAACAAAAAAAACAACTTGATTTTTTTTTTTTTGCTTGATTTGAAGAAAGGCATTTAAAAACTTTTGTTTTGCCTTAGTGGCTCTTGGGCAAAGTTCTGGACTACAGGTCTCTAGTGGGCAGGTTGTAATGCCAGCCAAGATGTCCATAATGTGGTGGAGGCTTATTACATAGTCTAGTTGCAATGCAACTGAGTTTTTGGTCACATGTTAAAATGTTGCTGTGGGGATGCTCTAAATGTCGTTATGAGAAGGGATTTGGTGCACCATACCAGTTTGGAAAGTGGATTGTAACACATTTTGTTCCTTTTCAGTGGACGGTGGTCACCGCGCTGTGATCTTTGACCGCTTCACGGGGGTGAAGAACTATGTGGTTGGCGAAGGCACCCACTTCCTTATTCCATGGGTTCAGCGGCCCATCATCTATGATGTACGTTCACGACCCCGCAATGTTCCAGTCGTTACCGGAAGCAAAGGTAATCCTTTTTTCTTTCTTTTTTAAGATTGTGTTTGTAGAGTGGTTAGAAAAGCCAGTTTGTTACGATCCAGCTTCATCTGATTTACTTAGTAAAGTGTTCATACAAGTCACACATCTGAAGCAAAATTCAGTTACATTCAGTATTGAGTAATTGAGTATCATCATTATACCGTAAAATACTGAGCATGTGACAGTAAGTGCCCACCCTTTACTTTTGAGACATTTAAAGTCATTGAAAGACATATCAAGTGCCCACCCCCTATTTTTAAGGGGCAGTGCAACTATTTTAATGATGAAGGAAAGAACTGCTATTCTGCTGCGTAATCGTAAAGGATACAATGATTTATTTGCCCATCTGCAGCTGTTTGTGGCAGTTACGGGAACTACTGTGTCCCGTAACTGAAGTGCGTGCGGAAGTCAACAAAACCTGTCCCCTTCCACTGCTACACTCGCCGTGAGCAATGTGGCAAACTGTCTTTTGTCTCGATGACTGGCCGCAACCTTCGGTTGTGCAAATCCCTGAGAAGTTCGTGGAGGAACAGTTGGGGGCTGTGAAAACAGAGCCCTACAGGAAACCAGGTGGTCCCCCTGCGACGTCACTCGAAAGACAGCATGAGAGTTGATGGGCACCTTAACCGTGCTCGTCAACCGTGCGCAAGTAAAAATAGTGTTGTGTTCTTCGTTGTATAGACCGACACGCGGGCTTGACGTCACAGAGCTGCGGCAGCGCTGCGATAGCGCCGGAGCCGGGTGGTGTAGGCAGAAGGGCACACATTTTGCATAGGAGTCGTTGCATTTCAGCATGCCGCGAAGCTGTGTTACCCATAATCACACCGAAAGGTTTGAAAAAAATTTGCGGAGTGAGCTTCCACAAGTTCCCGGCAGACTCTGAAAGGCACAGAAGGTGGATAATATTCGTGAATTGAAAAAAAATGGTCGCCTCGCGCGAACGATTGTTCGTGCGGCAAGCACTGTCTTGAAGGCAAGTGCGGCTTCAATTTCAATCTTTGTCCCGAGGCTTGCTTATGTGCAGGGAAACCGTCGTCTGATTGAGACCACCCGGATTTTGTTCTCACGGTGTTCACGCACAAAGCTTCGGCCAAGCGCTCGGCGGCGGCTCGCTACCAAGCAAAAGGGGATCGGCGACAGAACGGCAGTGTTGTAGGCGTTACCGAAAAAAAGTAACGAAATACATTACTCGTTACTTGCAAATAAAAAGAATGCGTTATCAAGCTATGTTACTTAAAATTAAAAGGAATGTGTTACCGCTGCCGATAAAAAGTAACGCACATTACTTCTGTGCTACTTTTTAAATTATGATCTAACACATTTTACTGTTTTGACAATACAGGTTGGCATAAGCTCATATATTAAGAAATATTATGTTCATGCAGAAACTGAACATAATTACTTTATCTCTTTTTACGGTTTCACCTAAATACTCACAAGAAAAAACGCGAAGAAAAACGCAGAAAACTATAATTCACATGCTTGACGCCTAAAAACTCGGAAAAAATTGAATTGTAATTTATTAAAGACTTGGGAAGTAGTAACGAGTAACATAACTACGTTACTTGAAATAGTAATGTAAGTATGTTACCCGTTACTGTGTTGAAAAAGTATTGAGTAGGTTACTACATTACTGGAAAAAGTAACTCGTTCCTGGCAACTTGTAACGTGTTACCGCCAACACTGCAGAACGGACAAAGCGTTTCCGCTTGTCATGCCTTGTGGTCATGAGGGTAGAAAATATATCATACCTTGCCTTGAAGATGCTGTGTGTATTTAATCAAATAATAAATATACTTCTGCAGACCCACAGTCTGCTGATTCCGCCGGCAGTGCGAAAACAGACTCAAAGTAATTGTAGGCCTCGAGAGACTTGTACGCCTGCATCATGTCGGCCGTGAACTGGCTTGGCGAAAAAACTAAATAAACGACGACGTGAGCCGTCGACTTCCGTGGCAGCAACTTCACGTCGCAAGTCCAGCAGGCCTTGTTTGCGGCATACGGATCCTCGAAGGCAACGCCGTCCACGCACAGTTTGTTTCAATACCGCTGCCATTCATGCTCGTGTAGGGAGCTCAAATAGTTGGGCATAGCATACGATATACGTTGTAAGGAAATACGACGCACAAATAAAGCTAGAAGCGTCCCTACAATGTCAACAACGAGCGCACGCCACGCAACGCAATGGCAAAAACATGAAGAGGCGGGCCACTTTTGACCACATAGCTTTTGCGCATGCGCGGCCTTTTGGCTGTGTTGGTAAACAGAGCCGCTCCGCGTGTCGGTCTATACACTCCGTGCGGGAACTATAGGGGGCACTTTGAAAAACGCGCTTAGCGCCGCTAGCGGAGGAGCTGGTGTTCGACAGTGAGGCGCGCTCAGCAGCCTGCGGCGCCTTTTCGCGTGCGAAGCTGTGGCGGCGGAAGCGCACACGGACGAAACTTTTGCTTTTTTAGCCGATAAGTTGAGGGTGACGTTGCATGAGTGCTGAGAGAGATTTAAGAAGGGCATTTAGCTGTTCTCCGCTTCTTATATATTGAGTTTGAGTCGTTATTAGGGGTAATCTCTTTAGTTGTGGTCGAAAAAGGGGTTTGAGCAATTTTCCAAAAAGCAAGACGGCCGCCACCATAATTGCTCTCAGTGGGAAATTTGTTTCGCTCGTCGCTGGAAACGTAGGACAGCTGGAAGGATGATATTTGGAGGCGAGTGAGATGTTCACTAAGTTTGTGCACTAAGTGGGCCAAGTTTTATTAAGACAGTAGGTTTGAAAGTTATGGTTCTAATGAATAAAGGAATAAAGCTGTCAGGAATATCCAATATTGCATCCAAAATGTTGTGTGACAACCGGGCTGTGCGAAGTGCAGATTTGGACACACAGGTTCTTGGACATAACTGTAACTTCACACAACTGTTATAATACCAAAAAATAGGTGGCATAGGGAAACCAGGTGGAAATTTGGTTTGGGCGGCATAACTGAATGGGAAACTGTTTTGACCGTGAAAGGGCTGTGAAGAGAATACCACTCGTCGTGGGAGATGGAGACTTTACAGGTAGGAAGGGGCTAGTTCACTGTACTTCCAATTGAAACAACCTTACGAAAGGTGGCTTCAAAGCCGAGAAAACCAAGTTGCCGGCCGACACACGGTTTGGCCATCAAAGGCTTTTGCGGTCAGCTGTTGTGTGGTAATCTTGTTGTGCGAGGTGCTGATTTTCGGCTCACAGGTGGCATAAGTGGCAAAGAGGTGGCATAGTTTAACCAGGTGGAAATATTTTTGGGCGGCGTAACTAAATGGGAGCCGGTTTTGGCGGTCAAAGGCTGTCAAGAGAATACCACTCATCAAGGCCGGGAGGTGCACACTATACAGGCAGGAAGGGACCAGTGGACGGTACTTACAGTTCAAACAACTTTGTGACAGGTAGCTCTAAAGCCGAGAAAAAAAAATTGTTGTCTACAAAACTCGGGGTGTCAGCGTTTCCACATACAAAAGGAGGCTGATCAAAAAAGAAAGCACACCACATAAACTTCCATACTCAAACATCGATTGCCTATTGATTCCAAGTTTCATTGTAGTTTTCCTTAGATTCATATTTGTCACTTTTTGTACCGTCCGAATCTTTCTTCATGAAGTACAGACTGCGTGCCATACTGGTCTGGAAATATCATTGACACATACGATGGGGACGAAACTTCCTTGGAGGGCATTCCTTCAACGAAATTCGGACTGCATACCCGCGAGTGTGGGATGGCATTTCAGTTCGAGCTGAGATATGTAGGCGTTACTGGTACGCAAACAAACGCAGAGCGCAAAGCGGCAGTGTAAAATATGTCGGCTGTGCCGACACAGTGGCAGACATGATCGGGAGACCAAATTTCTCGCGTCATATGGCACGGGTCTATCATTGTCGCTGTCCCACAAAACATTGGCAAGGTGAAAAACTGTGAAACTTCGTCCCCACGAGATACGACGCATAAATATTGGAGCACTTAACGACGCAGCAGTTCATGCTGTCAACCCAGCGCAACCGCACCGCTCCGACTTCAATGCGTACCAGTGTACGCGGCGTGGTTTCGTTTCGCTGGGGCTCTCACTGCCTACCTTTGGTAACGGCCGCGCGGCGGCACGCCGGTCGCGTCGCACGGAGTGTATAGGCGATGCAGATTGATTCCCGCAGTTAATTGGCCTAAGTCCTAGGGATATTAAACCGAAATTTGGATTTCGCAAAATGAGACTGCAGAAGCATTGAAGAGGATGCTACAAACTCCAAAACATCACTCGTACATCGATATCTTAAAGGGATGGCTGTACTTTTGGAAAAGAAGGGTGCAATCAAGCGAGGTCTTCGACGTCATTGACCTCCGGCAGAATTTTGGTTCAGCAGCTCGACGTGACGTAGCAAGGAGGAGCGCGAATGGGAATTGTGACGTGACTTGTCTCATGGGCCTTGTCGGCCGTGTTCAATCGCATACTTCTTTTCCAAAAATATGGCGATCCGTTAAAGATATCGCTGTACGAGTGATGTTGTTGGGTTTTCCAACGTCCCGCCTATCGCTCCAGGCTTGTTCTGGGAGCTCGAAATTTTGGTTCAGTATCCCTTTAAGCAGTGCCTAAAGTCAGGGGGATCTTGGGTGATCTCGGACCCCCTGCCAATATTGAAGGGTGGTCTGAGACCCCCCGTCATAGCACTGGCGTTTGTGAAAACGCAAGCTCAAGTACTCCATCTTGTTGACTTTCCCCATTCAAGTCTTGTCAAATCAAAATCTCATAAGATTAAAAAAAAAAAAAAGTGATGTTGTGAATAGCCATGTTAATTTCATGTTGAGCAAAACGATGGATGTTTCAGGAAAATTACTATAATTCTTGACGAGAAAAATAGGCAAAATCAACGTTGTTGGGCGATTTTGTTTTCTGAGAAACATGCCGGGTTACGCTTATGTTTTAGTGAAGTTGGTTTTGTGCGCATCTAATATGACCCCCCCCCTCCCTTTACCATAGTTTGTAGAGACCCCCCCTAACTTACAAGAGACTTTAAACACTGCCTTTGAGCAAGCTACATCCACACTCTGCTCTGGTCAATAAAATCAATGGCTGTCTAATGGAAACAGAGGCAGTAGATCTGGAATTCCTCTGTGGGCTTTGTCTTTGGCAGATCTGCAGAATGTGAACATTACCCTCCGCATCCTGTTTCGGCCAGTCCAGGAGCAGCTGCCGCGCATGTACACAACCCTGGGCGTCGACTATGATGAGAGGGTGCTCCCTTCCATCACCAATGAGGTGCTCAAGGCTGTCGTGGTGAGTGAGGGAACGCCCTTTGTGTTCCAAAGTCTGCTACATCTTGCGCCCAGATGTCTCCACTCCAAGGCACTGGAGAAAGCAGCTTTACATTGAGTGGTGATTTATCCCGCAAACAAATGGAAACGTAAACCGCTCCCCAAGCACTCTGCCCAGCAATTATGTCCCGGGGCTGCGTGATGTCTGCAAAACACCTTACATACATGTGTGCAAGTAGTGACACGTGTCCTCCCATGAGCAAAGGACTGAATCGGTCCCGAAATGTCTGGATATTGTTTATCTGGCTTCTTTTATTTTCGAGCTTATACCGCCACCTTGCGCAGTTTAAAACCGAAAGAAAAAATCATTAAACATCTTTTAAACTGTGCTCGAGTTGAAAGGCCATAATTCTATGTTGAATTGTTTTTTTTTTTGCTTGTTTTGCAGTTTTGGTGCTGCTCAAAGACTGTTAGTATTTTGTCTTGAACTGGCCTTGGAAGCAGTGGTATTAGGATAGCCTGTGTTTGAAGCTGATGGCAGGAACTTTGCGAGTGCTTCCACATAAACTTTGCGAGTGCTTCCCTTTTTTTTTTTTTGCTGTTCAGCAAATAAAGCTGTCTCAACAACCAAACAAGTTAATGACCTTTTGTTGTAGTATGGCACTGTTTATATCAAGGAAGAAAAGTTTTCAAGTACCGTAAAATCCCGTAAGAAGGCCCACCCAAAATGAAAAAATGAATGGTGAAAAACGTGGGATGGGTTATCTCTGGGGATGCCACAGCAAAGCTTTATCAGAAATTAATGGTAAGCACCTGGGCATCCGCTACAAACCACATGATGTGGGAACTGATACCGCAGATCGAGGACACGGCGAATTCGTGTTTCACAATGCGATAAACACGCGGGAATTCGCTACAAACTCCTGTGTTAAGGGAAAAAATACCGCAGGTGGCCGACGCAGCAGATTTGCGTTTCACGGAGCGAAGGGCTCGCGGAAACCCGCCGAGAACTTGCATCTCACGGGAACGGATACCACAGATCGCGGACACAGCAGATTCAAGTTTCATGGTGCAATAAAGACACGGAAACCCGCTACAGTCTAGCCTGTCACGGAAACCGATATCACGCATGCAGATCACGGACAAAAACGCGGGAATAAGCTACAAACTTGGATGTCATGGAAACAAATATTGCAGATCGCGGTCGCAACAGAATCTCATTTCACGATGCAATATACACGCGGGAACAACTCGCGCATGTTACAGCTAAGGATTGATATTGCGCGTGCAGATTTCGGACAAAAACACGGGAATCTGCTACGAACTCTGGAACGGATACCGCAAATCGCTGACGCAGCAGATTTGCGTTTCACGATGCAATATACACGCGGGAACAGCTGGCGTGTTATGGCAGCCAATATCACGCGCGCAGATCGTAGACAAAAACGCGGGAACCTGCTATAAACTCGCTTCTCGGACACACCCGTACCGCAGATTGCGCCCTTGATGCGCGATTCCCGTCAGACATCGTTTAAAGGGGCCCTGCAGTGACTTTTTGACTGGTTTTTAATTTGCACCGAACCTGAGCGCACTGAACGTAATAACTTAATGAAACTTTTCTTTTCTCAAATTTCGCTTTATTTTAAAAGCTATAGGTAAAGTAGAATTACAAAAACAAACAAAAAATAACTTCCTTCATGACGTCATAGGTCCTGGCTTGAGTGGCTTTGAACTAGAGGAGGGGTAGTGAGCTCATCAAGCGCTCACGGTTGCTGCACTCCGTGTCGACGACTCAAGAGGGCGCCACTAAAGCACGTGTTGGATAGACTCTATGAAACGGGCAACCAGGGCGGCTCGCATTGCAATTGCTGCGCGATTAAAGACTATTTCGGCATAACACTTCATTGGCCACAAACGACAGCAAACACGGGGTAAAGATCAGTTCAGAACGGGAGCCACTTTGCGCTGCCATACCGCCAAATGGCCAAATCGCCAGCAGGGCCCGCGCCGAAGGCCCTCGGAACGTTCAAAACCGGTCGGATTCTCGAGCCGGTATACGACCGCAGCGACACCACGTACATTCGGGACCTTTCTACACTCGCCGTTCGTCGTAGCCTCATCCCACTAGCCCTTTCTAGTATGCGCCGTTTTTTCCGCCGCTTGGTGGTGGGTTTGTCGACGGGTTTTTTTTTTATTTCCATACTTTATAAACTACATTTGTTCCTTTTCTGATCTGAAATACTGAACAAAAACTACTTTCATACATAATTGAAACGGTTCGCAACACTTATATTTTGTATCTCGACTAAAAAAAAAAAAGCTTTTAGTGGCTCTGACCAGTAGTAAGGCCAGGACCGAGGACGTCACATATGCGCGCTTTCGGCAACGCGGGTCGCCCTTGTAGGTGGAGGTGGTTTCCGCGTCGACCGGTTGAAATATGACGCACTGATATTTAGTTACTCTCTCCGTGTGCGCTGGCTTGCCCGAACCGCAAGAGACGTGGAAACCGCAAAAAAGGTAGACACTTAAATATGATTGCAGGGCCCCTTTAACCTCCAACGGGAATCGGGGGGTGGGCGATGTTTCGGAATTTTTATGTTGCAGATATTTAACCAGAAAAACGGGATGGGCAATCTCGGGGGAGGGCGCCCTTACGGGAGTTTACTGTAGGCTGTACTTTACGGTAGAAATAAGTTGGGAATTTCTCCTCTGCTCGGTTCTCAGTGATTGGGCAGATTGAAGAATAAATTTTTCGTGTTAAAACAGATAACTAGTAAAAAGCAAATTATTCTTTCTTAGGTAAAGTGATTTAAATAATATAACTAATTTGTATTTCATTTTGAATTTAAAAAGATTGATTTTTTTCAATTTTGACTTGACTGAAATAGCACTATCTCGCATTAATCTGATCAAAAACTATTCCAGCGTTTTGTTTTGCCTTCACCTAGTGCCTACCAGCAATCTTAAATGTGAAGACTGAAAGGAGGCTAAATAAAATGAAAGCACACCTAAAGTGCTAGATTCAAATGTTCATTGTTCAGTAATTCCTAGCTTGATCATACTTTTTTTAGATACACATTTCTCACTTTTTGTACCATCCCAATTCTTCTTCAGGAGGACAGCCCGCATGCCATACTGGTCCGAAAATATGGTTGACACGTTTGATGGGGATAAGAGGCATTTGGAGGGCACCTCTAACGAAATGGGCACTGCATACCTGCAAGTGCGGGTTGGAATTCCAGTCCATCCCATTGGCGCTGAAAGATGTAGGCGTTGCTGGCACAAAAGAAAAATAAATAGGGCAAAACGGCCAAGTAGAATATGTCCGCTGTGGTAGACAGTGGCAGACATAACCGGGAGACCAAACTTCTCGTGTTGTACGGTGCGGGTTTATAGTTTTCGGACAAGTCCCAGACGGGGTCTGGGGCCCGTTTGGAGATTGGCAGCAGGACTAACTTTCCAAAAAAATAAATAAAGCACGCTAAAATATTTTTATACAAAATACCAAAATCAAAATACCAATATTTACCAGAAATACTAAGGTCGCACACAAACGCGCATGTGGAGAGGTTCTGACTCCGACTAAATTACATCCTGTAACGTAAATATTGATAAAAAAAAAAAAAAATTTTCGCGGAACATTTGTTTTGTGACATGCTTGTCCCAATTAGGCTGTTTAAAAAAATGCCTTTTTTTCTTTGCGGTTAGTTACCCTTTCAGTAATGGCTGTGCGGTTGCGTTAGCTTTGGTTTTAAAACGTCTGCTTCAGCCTGCCACTTGTGTGCTTAAGCGTACCGGCATGACACCCAATTTTTTTTATCCCACAAAATAACAAAACACTGCCCAGGAGTGGGCCAGGCGAGCAGAGGAGCCCTTCCTCTTCACCTGTTTCTGCGCTAGCAAAGCAGTGACCAGCCACAAAAGAGACCATGTCGAGTCACTGTGACCTGAGCCAGAAAGAGCAGAGCAAAGCAGTGACCAGCCACAAAAGAGACCATGTCGAGTCACTGTGACCCGAGCCAGAAAGAGCAGAGCAAAGCAGTGACCAGCCACAAAAGAGACCATGTCGAGTCACTGTGACCTGAGCCAGAAAGAGCAGAGAAAAGCAGTGACCAGCCACAAAAGAGACCATGTCGAGTCACTGTGACCTGAGCCAGAAAGAGCAGAGCAAAGCAGTGACCAGCCACAAAAGAGACCATGTCGAGTCACTGTGACCTGAGCCAGAAAGAGCAGAGCAAAGCAGTGACCAGCCACAAAAGAGACCATGTCGAGTCACTGTGACCTGAGCCAGAAAGAGCAGAGAAAAGCAGTGACCAGCCACAAAAGAGACCATGTCGAGTCACTGTGACCTGAGCCAGAAAGAGCAGAGCAAAGCAGTGACCAGCCACAAAAGAGACCATGTCGAGTCACTGTGACCTGAGCCAGAAAGAGCAGAGCAAAGCAGTGACCAGCCACAAAAGAGACCATGTCGAGTCACTGTGACCTGAGCCAGAAAGAGCAGAGCAAAGCAGTGACCAGCCACAAAAGAGACCATGTCGAGTCACTGTGACCTGAGCCAGAAAGAGCAGAACAAAGCAGTGACCAGCCACAAAAGAGACCATGTCGAGTCACTGTGACCTGAGCCAGAAAGAGCAGAGCAAAGCAGTGACCAGCCACAAAAGAGACCATGTCGAGTCACTGTGACCTGAGCCAGAAAGAGCAGAGAAAAGCAGTGACCAGCCACAAAAGAGACCATGTCGAGTCACTGTGACCTGAGCCAGAAAGAGCAGAGCAAAGCAGTGACCAGCCACAAAAGAGACCATGTCGAGTCACTGTGACCTTAGCCAGAAAGAGCAGAGCAAAGCAGTGACCAGCCACAAAAGAGACCATGTCGAGTCACTGTGACCTGAGCCAGAAAGAGCAGAGCAAAGCAGTGACCAGCCACAAAAGAGACCATGTCGAGTCACTGTGACCTGAGCCAGAAAGAGCAGAGCAAAGCAGTGACCAGCCACAAAAGAGACCATGTCGAGTCACTGTGACCTGAGCCAGAAAGAGCAGAGCAAAGCAGTGACCAGCCACAAAAGAGACCATGTCGAGTCACTGTGACCTGAGCCAGAAAGAGCAGAGCAAAGCAGTGACCAGCCACAAAAGAGACCATGTCGAGTCACTGTGACCTGAGCCAGAAAGAGCAGAGCAAAGCAGTGACCAGCCACAAAAGAGACCATGTCGAGTCACTGTGACCTGAGCCAGAAAGAGCAGAGCAAAGCAGTGACCAGCCACAAAAGAGACCATGTCGAGTCACTGTGACCTGAGCCAGAAAGAGCAGAGCAAAGCAGTGACCAGCCACAAAAGAGACCATGTCGAGTCACTGTGACCTGAGCCAGAAAGAGCAGAGCAAAGCAGTGACCAGCCACAAAAGAGACCATGTCGAGTCACTGTGACCTGAGCCAGAAAGAGCAGAGCAAAGCAGTGACCAGCCACAAAAGAGACCATGTCGAGTCACTGTGACCTGAGCCAGAAAGAGCAGAGCAAAGCAGTGACCAGCCACAAAAGAGACCATGTCGAGTCACTGTGACCTGAGCCAGAAAGAGCAGAGCAAAGCAGTGACCAGCCACAAAAGAGACCATGTCGAGTCACTGTGACCTGAGCCAGAAAGAGCAGAGCAAAGCAGTGACCAGCCACAAAAGAGACCATGTCGAGTCACTGTGACCTGAGCCAGAAAGAGCAGAGCAAAGCAGTGACCAGCCACAAAAGAGACCATGTCGAGTCACTGTGACCTGAGCCAGAAAGAGCAGAGCAAAGCAGTGACCAGCCACAAAAGAGACCATGTCGAGTCACTGTGACCTGAGCCAGAAAGAGCAGAGCAAAGCAGTGACCAGCCACAAAAGAGACCATGTCGAGTCACTGTGACCTGAGCCAGAAAGAGCAGAGCAAAGCAGTGACCAGCCACAAAAGAGACCATGTCGAGTCACTGTGACCTGAGCCAGAAAGAGCAGAGCAAAGCAGTGACCAGCCACAAAAGAGACCATGTCGAGTCACTGTGACCTGAGCCAGAAAGAGCAGAGCAAAGCAGTGACCAGCCACAAAAGAGACCATGTCGAGTCACTGTGACCTGAGCCAGAAAGAGCAGAGCAAAGCAGTGACCAGCCACAAAAGAGACCATGTCGAGTCACTGTGACCTGAGCCAGAAAGAGCAGAGCAAAGCAGTGACCAGCCACAAAAGAGACCATGTCGAGTCACCGTGACGTGAGCCAGAAAGAGCAGAGCATGCACCCTGGTGGGACCTTCTTTTCTGTTCCCATTTTGTACTTGTAAAGAACCAACCAAACGATAACAGCACCATTGTAAAGCGTGTGTTGACTCGACTTGTCGAAAAATGTTCGAAGAAGTCGCATAACCTGCCTCGACTTTTTCTTGGCCCTTGGTCTCGCCCTGCAAATCCCCGTGAAACTCGGACCCCCGCAAAACCCCTGACTTTGCCCAACTCACAAATTCGCGCCGCTCACTGAACAAGTCATGAACTCGTCAACCTCAGCCCCTCACTGAACCTCGGGAGTTTTTAATATTTGCAAACTTGGCCTCACCCTACGCGTGAGAGTGAATGAGTTCTGCCGAGCTATGCTCACTGGTTCCTATTGATGGGCTTCTCTTGCATGTGTTTCCCAGGTCTAAAGGGGCTGCTCTCTAACATGGTTTTTCAGCTGCCGTCTCCCTCGGGATCTCCTTTTCCTACCTCAGCTCTTTCATAAAGTGTTTCAGCTCATGTTGTCTGTGATTCTACGTGGGCAATTCTTTGACATCTTCACTATGTTTGCAATTGTTGAGAAATGTTCTACATAACATTTGATCTCTTACATGAAACATAGTTTGATTTGTGTGCTTTGATATGAAATCATGTGGCTGAATGAAGGCTGTTTGCTTGCAGGCTCAATTTGACGCAAGTGAAATGATCACTCAGCGTGAGGTGGTATCTCAGAAGGTGTGCGATGAGCTTACCGAGAGGGCATCGCAGTTTGGCGTCATCCTGGACGACATTTCAATTGTGAGTGACTCAGATTCCCGATTTTTTGAAACTACGGACCTTCGAAAAGCTTCATCTCTAGAGTCTTTATTTTGCACACACCAATCACTCCAGTAATTTTTTTTTTTTTTTTTTTGCAGTGCATTTTTTTACAAGACTAGTAGTGGCATTTCTAGCGCTGTTGACATTAGTAGATTGGCTGGTGCTTCCACTATGTAGGCCGATGTTTTTCACAAGTGCATTTGTTTCTGGTGTTTTAGAACGGTACATGTCATTTATATGTCGATTGTTTTAAATTTGTGTGGCTGTAGAACCTAGATATCTGACTAGGCTTGGATTGACCCGTATATGGGGTCCATGCACAGGGTTTGAGGGCCTGATTTGGGACCCGCATAATTGGACAGGGAATTGCACAAAGCTGCACAGAGCTGGGAAGAAGTTCTGGGGCCAATGAGACTGGTCCGAATGGCAACAAGTGTGAACACAATGAGCATCCCTGAAGCTGCTGGGGACTCTAGCGGTGCTCATTGAATGCTAAAGACAGCCGCACCTGGATCAAAAGAGCAGTATTTCTCTAGGAGTCCCCTGAGGCCCAATAATTTTATTTTTTATTCACCTAGTGCTAAGTTCCTCTCGGAGGTTCTGGCAGGAGTGGTAATACAACGCACAAGAACTTATACATTGGACAAAAACAGTTTGATAAACAGATTAGAAAATGTATACAGAAACTTAACACTAAATGTACAATTCAAAACAAATGTACAACCAAATCTTGTTCAAGGACAACTTTCCAATGATTTTATAAATAAGATTATGGTTGACAAATTGACCTGCACTTATGTATTCCCATTTTCAATACTATGTGGAAAAAAAAAATTTGGAGAGAGTCATTATTAGAGCCCTGCATATCCGCAGATATCCGCAGTAAACGGGCGGATTGCGGATCGGATGTGGATGTCGGGCTGCGGATGCGGATGTCCGCGGATCCGGATTTAAATTTTTGCCCGGCGGCATTCAGTTCGTCGACTGACGTTTCATCTACAGATTGTTTCGTCGACATGCGACGTTTGATCGAAAGGCTTCTCGTGTTCGTTTTATCAAGAAACCTGAGACGTTTCGTCGCACAAAACCCTGCTATTTTTGTAACAAACTTTTTGCGTTTCGGCTGGATTACAGGGGGAGGGGGGCATGGTTTAGTTAAGCTCGCCTTAGTGAATTGCGCGCTAGCTTTTAGCGGCGTAGTGAAGAAATATATTTTCGACAAAACGTCGCAGGGTCCCCACAAAACGTACAGCTTCGACGAACCGTGTGTCCATGAAATGTATGTCCATGAAAAGTTGTCCACGAAACTTATAGAGATCCTAAGAAAGATCCGATTCTGACTGAAGATCGCTTCAGTTAGTGCGTTCCCTCTCGTCAAAACTCCCATCTATAGAAACAGTAAATATTTCCCGGGGTATCAATCGTCCCAAGAAAGCTAGTACATTGGCAGGAAAAGAGCGGAAACTTTCTCCGGACAAAAAAAAACCTCAAACGTACAAGTCACAAGAAAGTAGAAGAAAGGTCCCCCTCTGGGTGCAAAGAGTAGTGTGGTCATGATTCCCCCCCCAAAAAAAAGAAGTGCCTCGACAGCGAGCACGCCCCTCTGGCGCCACAGTTTGTAAAGTTTCAGAATCAACAGCGCACTCACATAAGCAGCCCATAAACGGCCTCTGTGTTTCTTTTTTGTATGCTTAGAGACATAGCCAAAAATTCTGGTAGTTCATATTCGTCCAACTACGATGCCAGGGTGTCGTAGCCGGACGATTATGAGCCTCTCTTACTTTTTAGTTGTTTGACGGAACTAAAATGTCATAATTTAGTATGACCTTTTGAAACTTTTGTTTCAAAAGTACACGTCTGCATAAAATAAATGTTACAAAGCAAAAAAATTTTTTTTGTTTTCTGCGGTTTTTTTGGGCAGTGTGTTGCGGACTCCTAGGACGATCACATAACTGAGATTATTTTTCCATCAACGCGCAGTGTCTCGAAAAGGCTGGTCGCTTTTAATATAAATACGATGAAACTGATAATGATAAAATGGCATCCCCTTTGAATGGTGACCCGATGATTTCTTTGTACAAAAATAAGCAAGCAGCTTAAAAAGTGCTATTTTTTTAATTCATGCTTGATCTTATGATATACAGTAAATGCCTGGATTTTGAGTTGGATGCGGTTCCACATTTTGCGGATGTGGTTCGGATAAATATACAAAGTATGCGGATGCAGATCGGACACGGATACAATAATGTAAAAAGTTTGCGGATGCGGTTTGGATGCGGATACGAAGTCTGTTGATGGGATGCGGATATTCAAACTGTTGTCCACGCAGGGCTAGTCATTATTATGCCCTATTCTGCTAGCTTCATCTGGTACGAACCAGTCGCAGAGCCAAATATTTCCAGTGCCCAGTATAAAGTTGCCGTCAAGTATAGAATATTATAAAAAGTTGAGTCTAGCCATCTGATGCCTAGTCAATAAAAGTTTCATTTGAGCCTTTTCATAGTTAGAGATTCGTTGGTACTGGCTGTATACGAAGCTCAAATCTGGGCACCTTTTCTAATTTGCCAGTGTTTGTGTCCATGTGAGGGTCCGAAACCTCCATAATCGTCAACAAATGACACTGTGGGCACTTGTCTTGACCAGAGGAGCTTTTTACCTACCTACATAACAGTTGTTCCCAACAGGCTACTTTGCCCTGGACGCCTAGTTCAAAAGCCACGTTGGGAGTTGATTGTTTCGTGCTTAAAATGTCTGACACTGTCGAGCTTCATTGAGTGTCGCCCTGCAGACTCACCTGACCTTTGGCAAGGAGTTCACCCAGGCCGTAGAAATGAAGCAGGTTGCACAGCAGGAAGCTGAGCGGGCCCGGTTCCTCGTCGAGAAGGTATGGGAGTTCATTTGGCTCTCGTAGATTTCTTCTTGCTCTTATGGTCTTCAGCAACTCATTTTTAACCTTCTAAAGGGATGGTGAACCGAAATTTGGATTTAAAAAAAAAAAACCATGCAGGAGATGCAGGAGAATCCCAACAACACTACTCGTAAGGCGATATCTCGAATGGACAGCCATATTTTTGGACAAAGAGGTTGAAAAGGCCGACGAGGTGCGTGACGTGAAGATATCTCGTTTCCTCCTCTCTTTTCGCTCCCTCAAGGCAGCGAGGCAGAGAAGACACGAGGCCGTTCCCTCTCCTTCTCGGAGAAACAAGACGTAAACAAATCTGTCAAATGTGCCTCCCTTTTTTTTAAAATTTGGTCATCCATTTGAGATATTGCTGTATGAGTGATTTTTTGGTGTTTGCGGCATCCCGTTGCTTGCTTTTGCCGCTGTGTTTTGTGGAATCCAGATTTCGGTTCAACATCCCTTTAAAGGGCAACTCCGCACAATTCTAAAAATTTTAGGCTAACATGTGATTCCATTTGCCAAAGCACTACTAAACAGCCCTACGTCTTCAGATTCGGAAAATGTGTAATATTATTTCTGTAATCTTAGTTTGAACATCAGCAGATATCGAAACTTTGGTTGCGACAGGCAACATTGATCTCGTGTCATCAGTCATGTTCACGTCACGTTGAATCACGGGATCCGAAAGGTCACCTGATCCTCCATGTGACGGCGGGCGAACGTAGAGCAAAGCGCAGGTTTCGTCTGCTCCGCAATTTTTGCCAATGTACAGTCAAACCTCGTTATATTGAACAGTGCGAGGACCGTGAAATAGTTCGACATTTAAAGTCACACACAAAAAAAGCGTCAAAGTACAACGCGATTTAATCAGTAAAAGGCTAACGGCAAAAAATGACTAGTACGCACGTGAAGCGTTAAGGTGAACTATTTATTCCGGCGAAAAAACTGCCGCAGCGTAGATTGCTGCATGGAGCTGACCGCATGCCTTATTACGGCCGGTTCCACTGTCTCCAAGCAGTCCACCAGTGCCAGATCACTGCCGTCGATTGCACTGCAGTAGCGGCGTAAAAGCGAAACCGTCTTCCCGACAATGTTGTAACAGGCTTTGAAGCGTTGCAGCCACCCGCTACTTGCGGCGACGTTTTGTGCTTGGTGGATGTACGTGAAGTCCTTTGCTTTCTGTTGAAGCATCGGCCTGACGCCGGAATGTTCCGAGCCCTTGCGTTTATAAACCACTTGCTTCGTTCAGCCTTCGATTTGATGTCACTTTTCGTCTTCAGCAGCGTGCTCAAAGTGCTTCGCGGTATGTTGTACGCTTCGGCAACGCTGGACTTCTTTTCTCCTTTTTCAACGCGGCGGATGATTTCAAGCTTCCTCGCGAACGTCAGCGACCTAAGTTTCTTTACATTTGTTGCCATGGCCACATGCGGTTGACGCAACGTCGGAGGAACGAACCCGGAGCCACGAAACTGCACAGGGCATGAAAAGAGCGATGCTGGCGATAGGATTGAGCTGACTGGACTGAGTCCATATGCCGCCGAATCTGGATGGCGTTCCCGGCACCACAGGCATAAAGCTTTATGCGGGCATGCGCTTGAATGAAAGTCGCAAACGCCTGCTGCGCCACCGTTATCCTACAATGTGTTGCAGAAAAGCCCGCGTATCCTCCGATGTGCTGCGGGAAAGCCTGTCTCCAGAGCGCAGCTTTCCGGTGCTGCGGAGTTCGATATATTAATTTTTTAACTGACCGAGTTTGCTATAAAAAATTTAAAATGCATGTAATTCTTATGGTAGTTTGACAACGATTCGATATAAGCAATAATTCTATATATCCGTGTTCGATATAATGAGGTTTGACTGTAGTTTGCTACAACAAACCAAGATCTCGGTTACACTTGACAAGATCCCCAGGTTGTCCAAATTCATCAGGCCTCTGCTTGGGCATGAGAGATGCGCTTTGTAGGTCACATTTATTTTACAGAAAATAGCTGAGTTTTCATGCCTGGTTTCTACAGGCACGAGGCATATATATGCTCGTACACTGGGAAACGCCCGGTACGTAGTGCGACCGACATGGGGGTCGTTTCATCGTGTTGGTCAAATGACCACCGTATCGTTTGACTAAGGTACACAATTCATGAATTGTGTACTTTGATGAAGCTGTACTGCAGACTACACGTTTATTGTCAATAGCAAAATAAGCAAGAATAATAAAGGCCGTGATAAGTATGCTCCAGTCATTTGGTTTCACAGCGGAACTGATCTTTTCACGCACGTTTTGCTATTTAGCTGGTAACAGCAAATTAGTCATGAGCACAAGCAATCAGAACAGATCATTGTTGTGTGCATTTGGCGACAACGGCTTCCCGGATTTCCATTAGCACGGTATGTTCGTCCATGCATTCAGAGGCGCACAGTTGTGTAGAAACTGGTGAAAGGCAACTCCCAGGCTGGTCAACTGGTACTTGGAGCAGGCAACTACACAACTTGGTGAGCCTATGGATCTTTCGCGAGGTATCATCGCCAGGCATCGGAGATGCGGCCGGCCCCCGTACCGTAAACAAAACGTTGTTCACAAACTACAACAGCAGCGGGACGAAACAGACTGCTCCCAGCCCCCAGCTCCGGGAGGCGGGCAGCGCAAGCTAGCGCATCCAGGTTACGGTAATCACATGGACACCGTTTAGCCAACACCGGGAGGAGAAACTCGTGACGTCGTCGTTCAATTTCGCTCTGAGAAGCAAAAACAAACAAAACATGAGAATGACGTCGACATGTGACGTAGTGGCTCAATGTAGGCTGCTCCAACTCTGGTATTGATTGCGCTGTTGATTGCGCCTCACATCGCACGCTAGCGTTAGCAGATTTCTGCGACTTGGCTCATTTGAGAGTGTGCTGGCCAGTTTATTAAAGATAGAGACGGGATTAGGTCGTTATATTTGACATCTGGTCTACCTAGATGATACTGAAGGGGGCTGCATAGTTTTCTCAATAACAAAAATGAAGTGGAGTTGCCCTTTAAGTGGCTTTTTTTTTTTTTTTCCGTCCCAGCGTGCTTCCTATGCCAAACTTTTTTCGCTTCACAAAAAAAAAAAATTTGTTGGATGCAGAAATGCGGTTTTATGCTTTAATATGTACATTTATTTACCAGATAATGTTACTTTACGTTCAAAGAGTTGTATAACTTTTGGATTTCTTCAATATAAAAAATTTTTTTTGCGTGGTATTTCTTGAAACACGGTAGTGGTACCTGGCATGCTGGGCGCATAGAGCAAGATTCTTTGTGCTTCCTTTGGCGTGTCTTGCTCCAAGCACACACATGGCAGACTCTTGTGGAATTGTATCTTTGCGGGTATCGCTGAGATCAAATGTCGTGCTGTTAGGGGCATTCGTTTGTCTCCGCTAGAAGTGCATCCTGCCTTGGGTCTTGCGCTTGGCTGGTGGCAATTTTCAACCATCTGACAAAGGAGCTCTAGGCAATACAGCAGAACCTCATTGATACGTTCTCGGTTGATACGTTTTCCCGGCTGTTACGTTCAAAAACGACGGTCCTGTTTTACACCTATAGAAATGCATGTATTAGTTTCCTGCCTGTTATGTTTGCTTTGCCGGCTGTTACGTTCAAAAGTGCCTCGGTGTGCCGGTCGCTAAGCTGCCACACTGGCTGGGAAGCGAAGCTAGCGGAGCAAAGCCGAACCATGCAATGCTGGTCGCACGGCACGCATGGGCACGCAGACGCCCGTCTTCCCTTTCTCTCCTCGCTGGGCTTTGCTGAGCTCTGCCACAGCTTCCCATCTTGTCCAGGTGTGATCTTGGAGCACCGCTCGGACGGGGAGCGAGGCGGCAAACGCTCCTTCTCTCATTCACCTGTCCTTCTCTGACACGAGGTGCACGCTGCTCTTCTACTTTCTGTTCGGCTCGATTGCATAAACCGTGGTGTTTCGGAGTATGTGCGCTTTGCACCCATTGACGACGGTCATGGCATCGCGGAAAAGGAAGGCACTCTCTTTTAAAGAGAAGTTATAAATTTGAGACAAGTTAAAAGTTTTAAAGAGAAGAAAGTGATGAAGATGTCGAGCAAGATCGAACGATTTCGCTGCGCCCACGTTTGCGGACGCGATCATTGTATTGGACACCTTGCGCCGCTACGTAAATATTCATGACTGCGCGGAGAGTGAGAGAGGACTGCGGCTCCTGGAGAAGCAGCTTTTACTGCTTCACATTAATTTGAAGCGGCAGGCGGATATTACGCGCTTTTGTGAACATGTCCGAGTCCTCGACAGTTCTGTAAGTACACATAAAATAAACCATTGTATAAGAGCTGCTTTCTATTTCTTGTGAAGACCCCCCGAGTGCGTTATCGGTTGTTACATTTTCCTGGATGATATTTTTTTTTTTTTGCAGTCCCCTGAAAAACCTATCAACGAGGTTCTACTGTAATCTGTCAGGGGCCTCTTTTTTTTTTTTCATTTGCAGAATGTTGCTGTTCAGAACAGTTACGTCGACAAGCTGAAAAATCTACTTTTCACACCATTTGAACGACTTGCATGTGACTGTACCAGACAGTCACAACCATGTCCGCCTTGTCGACTGTGCAGGAATTGTATTCAACCACACATTGCGGTATCAATTTCAGCGGACCAGTCTTTCTTTTTTGAGCTGTCCACCATGCAACCCTTGTGGTTGGCTGAGCATGCAAACCTCTCGCCTGTCCATCCAGCGCACAAAGAGATAATGTGCAACTCGCTGGTTTCGCCTCATTGATCTGTTTTCCGAGAGGGAACATTGAAAGGACTTGTATACCAGTTGTCGACCCAGACCCTTGTCTAAGTAGGTGTTGAAAAGAGTAAGCACAATGGAGGCGCCATATGTTAAACCAAAATCCTGTACCTCTATTCATGCTTAAGAGTATGTCATGTCATCCAAGACGAATCCTGTCTTCACATTGTAAATTGCAAAAGATGTGAGACCGAACAGACTCC